AAGTAGCTTTCTCTCATTGCTGCGGCAGCGTTATCATGCAGAGAGGAACAGTTGAAGCGACGAAGCCTCTCTGTCTTAGCGGGCAAGGTCTTCCCTCTGTCGGCTGGCTCGCGATTTGCTTGCAGCTGTTGGGCCAAGAGGTTACCAAGCAGCACACGGAGCATCCCGTTCAAGCATCATATTTGCTTAGCAATTAACAACATATTACGGCCAAAAAAGAGGTCCCGACGTGTTGAAGCCATAACCAGCGCACTGACCGTTGTCAAAGTTGCAGGTCTCTGTAAAGCAGGTTGGGTCACAGAGATCGATCCAGTCGCTGCAGCCACACGGACTTCCTTTCGCACAATTCATCGGGCTATTGGTCAAGTTGCAGTACGTGGAGCCCCGCAGCCGGACGTTGGCGGGAACGCCTGTGCCTGGTGTATCCCATACGAGCGGGTTGAAGTTGAGTTCAATCGTGAGGTCGGGTCGCGCGAGCACGAGGTATTTTGGTAGCGCTGTGATGCGGTTGTGGTCCAAATAGAGAGCCTCGAGCGACGAGCAGTTGATAAGCGCACGCATCGGGAGCTCGTCGATGACATTGAACGAGAGATCGAGATGCACCAGCTTGGGCCACAAGATCGCTGACGTCGCGGTGCCAAACATGCTGACGTTCGTCAAGCGGGCCTCCGAGAGCGATAAACCCACAAGCTGCTGTGCCCACGTCGCCCAAACACTCTGTGGTACATGCGTAATACGCGAGCCGACGAGCGCGAGGTGCACGAGGTTAGGCAGCGGCCCCAAGTCGCGCAGCACCTTGGGCACGGCTGCCAAGGACGAATGCCGGAGCTCGAGCTGCATGAGCGTCTGCGGTATCGACGTGGGCGGTATCGCCCACTCGGAGAGGTTGGAAAACTCGATCGCGAGTCCAAAGAGATAGGGGAACCGCGCAAAGAGCTCGGGGCGGGGGCCGTCGGGAAGGGCACAGCGCACAACGTTGAGGAAGAAGAGCGAGGCGCCGATCGACGGCGGGATGACATCGACAATCGTGCGGCCAGGAAGCTGCTGCTGTGCGCAGTTGAGACGGTAAAAGACGCAATCGCAAGACGACGAGAACCACGACGTGACCTGGAGCTTGCACTCGGGCGGGCACGGCGCGCGGAACCACGTCGACGTGATGGCAACGACTGCAATCGTCAGGCCCCATAGCATGCAGACAACGAGGTAGCATTTGAGCGCATAGCGTTTTGAAAAATCAAAATCCCAAAGCTTGGGGTACCTCTTGGCGATGAAAGTAAACCCAAAGGTGCGACGTCCATGCAAGCGCTGCGGAGGCACCCATTTGGCTTGGATCGGGCGCAGTTTGGCCTCGGGAATGTGAATCGCGTGGTCGAGTGAGTGCGCGAGAAGCTCGAGCGTCATGTAGCTCGTCGCGTGCGGCAGAAGCTTGACGACGAGGTCGCCAAACGACGAGACGACGACGTACCGATTAAAGAGGATCATTTTGGTCTGCCACTCGTAATAGTTAGTGCCGTTGGAAGACGCGTCGTCGAGGAAGAAGGCGAGCATGCTCGAGAGGAACATGAGCGTCGAAAGCACCGTTGATAAGAGAAAGCCAAACGCGCAGCTCAAGGCAAGCAGTGACGTGCGCCGCAAGAAGCCATTGGTTTGAAACAGCAGCCACGGTGACGCAAGCGCGTAGACGCTCACGCCAAGGGCAAAGACAAACGAGAGCGACGTATCGGTCGTTCGATCGGCCATGCGCTTGCCTTGATACGAAAACGAAATCAAATTGCACAGATGGCTACCGAGCACGAACGCTTCACTCAACAGCGCAGCGTGGCGGCGCTTGGTCTTGGCGTCGTTGGCGCCGAACGGCGCCACGCGCGTCGCGACCGTGTCTCGGATCGAGACAAACGTGCGGATGACGGGCGACTTGTGGTGTACGATCGCCGCCGCATGAAGGACGGCAAACGCAAAGTAAAAGCCCGGTGCGATCGAATGGAGGTGCCATGGCAAGAGAAACACCGTGTCGGCGGTCGGCGCCAAAAGGAAGAGCGATCCGAGTAGAGCTAAATGGAACGCTGTGAGCACGTGGACAGTGGAAATGAACAAAAGCACGGGAAAGCGTATGAGCGCCTTGTAGAGCCGCGTCTTGAGATCCGAAATCTGTTGCCGCACCGACGTCGAGAGCCGACGAAGCCGGGTCGGGTGCGTCATAAACTCAATCACGGACGAGACGCGGTCGTTCACGCGCCACGAGAGGTGGCTGTTCGGGAGCCCGGGCGGTCCCGACAGGATCACGCTCCCGCGCCGGACACTGCTCCGCGACCGCGGCATTTGGCTGTATAAATAGGCTGGCCTTTCTTTCTGTATCAAGTTGAAACGCAGGTGGAGGACCCACGTATCAATCTATCAAAGCGATGCGACATGCAAACTTTATTCTGTACAAATATTTACAGCCCGCGCCCAAAGATCGACGTGCGAATCTGGTCCGAGGCGACGGCCATGAGACTGCGGTAGCTCTGCTGCTTCATCGTTTCGAAACCTCGCCAGAGCAAGCCCATGGCAAAGCCTTGGACGACGCCGGCGCCGGGCATTGACGCAACAGCTTCGTTCTCGCCAATGAACGCCATCGACCCGAGGTTCGCCCACTCAAAGGGCGCCGCGCTCGTCGGGTTTTGCTCGAGCTTCTTGTTGAAGAGCTGCGCAAGGTACTCGCCTTGCTGCTGTGCAACTTGAGCGGTGGCGGGCAGCGACCGCAGATGTGCGTCCATGGCCGCCAAAAGCGCCACAAATTCGTCCTTGTCGAGGCGGTTGTTGTGGTCGGCGTCGGCCGCTTCAAAGATCGCGTGGAGCGCACCGTTGACAAACGGGCGTGAGAACTTCGAGGTCCCTCGGCTCTCTTGGATCAAATGCACGTGCTCGCGGAACTGCGGGTACGTTCTGGAGGCATGCTCGAAGAGCGCGGCCAAGTCCTCAAACGAGAGGCTGCCTTCGTGCGTCGAGTCGAATTGGTCAAAGAGCTCCTTGGCGTGCGCGACCGACTTTTCGTATGTGACGGCGGCCGCGTCACCGAAGCAGAAGAGGTTCGAGCTGCCGAGAACGCGGAAGTACGGGTCGACGACGACCGCGCGCTTGTTGGTCTGCTGCTCGGGGAAGAGCGACGCGATCGACGCCGCAAGCGGGTGCAGCCCAATACCCGAGCACCACATTGTCGTACCACATGGCAGCCGCGACGTCTTGCCGGTGGTGGTGTCGAGAACGTCGACGCTGTCGGCGTAAACTCGGGTGACGCGGCACTTGAGCAGCGTCTCGATACCGTGCTTGGCAAAGGCCGACGTCGCATATGACGCGATCTTGCGATCAAACATCGAGAGGATCTGGCTCGCACAGTCGATGACGCGGACGGTGGCCAATGACGCGAGGTGCGGGTAGTGCTTCTTGAGGTCTCGTTGGAAGAGGTCGTGGAGCTCGGCCGCAAGCTCGACGCCGGTGGGCCCGCCGCCGCAGATCGTAAAGGACAAGAGACGCTGCTGCTCGTCCGGCGACGTCGTTGGCAAGGACGCTTGCTCCCAGCGCGCGTGCACAAGCTTCCGCAGACCCACAACGTCGTCGTACGTTTTGAGAAAGTGCGCGTGCTCGGTGACGCCGGGCGTGCCAAACGTGTTGGCAACCGACCCGACTGCAACGACGAGCTGGTCATACTCGAGCGTAAACGGCGTGTCCGGGTCCAGCTCCGAGACGCACGTGACACGGTTTGTCGTAGGATCAATCGCGGTCGCAGCCGCCTCGACGAACCGCGCGTGCTTGGGCAAGAACGTCTGGATCGGTTCCACGATCGACCGCGCCTCGACTGTGCCTGTGGAGGCGGCGGGAAGCAGTGGCGTGTAGAGAAAGACGCCGCGCGGCGAGACGACCGTCACGCGCGTGCTGTCGTCGGGCTTGAGCTTGCGCAAGAAGGCGACAGCACCCCAGCCCGAGCCGAGCACGACGATGTGGCGCTTGGCCGCGTCCTTGGCGATGGGCACTGGCGCCTGCTGGTTCCAGGCGACAGCGGCCGAAGTCGCAGACGCGATGGCGAGGAGAGGTGCGAGGCGCCGGGCGCGGAGGAGGACCGACGACATGATGACGGTTGAAGAGGCAAATGGAAAATGAGAACGAAGTCCACCGCTGCGAGATCGCAATCTTGCAGCCTGCATCCGGATATAGCGTACGTGTTTATACTAATACTGATATTTGAAATAGTGTTAGAACACTATTCCTAGAAAAGATCTCGCCGTGTTGATGGTGTCTTGCCGCGTTGATGATGCGCTTGACGACAAGTCGTATTCGCCTGGAGGTGCAATTGCACAAGTTCCCATTCGCTTCGCACTTGGGTACTAGTAGTTGCACACTATTCAGACATACAGGGGGCTGTATATAGAGGCGTGAGACTGTAGCCTGTCGAGACGCGTCGGACTGGGCTACTAGACTGTACGAAGCGATCTTTCCGCATTCGCCTCGCATAATCAGGCAATAATGCGTCCGCACCGTCAGCGACAAGCTCGGACTGCGACATCCTCAGACTCAATATCAATGCCACTGAGTTGCTTCTCTGCTGCGATATAGATCCGTATTGTCAAGGACGCTTGATGTCCTGTCTGGTAGGTGCTACCGGTACTGCCGAGGATCGCCACTGTGCATTTTGCTTTGCGACATATTTGTATTGCGAATCCGACGATAACGATCGTCCGGAAAGAATTGGATCTACGGAAATAGTGTGCAGCTCTATTTTTAGCTGGCGTAGTGAGCGGAGTTGCAGTTGACAAGGATGCTCAAGTGCATGGCAGGCCGCCCGGCGGCCGGGAACCAAGACGTCTTTGCCAAGTCTCCGACGGGTCTTCCGAGCGCCGTCTGGGAAAATGAGTTTAGCGTCCTTTTCAATGGGCGCAAGCCCGTCGGGCTCGGCTTTGTCGCCGCCAACGTCGCGACGCCGCATGGCACGTACACGTGCGTCGTGCAGCACGTCATTAACGCCAAGGTCCACGCTAACCACGCTTTCGACCACAACGAGCACTGCTACTTGAGCTGTAACCTCAAGCGGTACAACCTCCGCCAAATACTCCTCGGTGGTCTCAAAGACCACTCATAGTGTCATCATGCCTGGCCTCGTCATTCGCGGCATCAACGACCTCGACGTGCGCGATACGAGTTTTGACGTTGTCGTCGCCAAGTACGCAGCTCGTACTTCATTCTTCTGATTTATTTCTTATTGGGCAGGGTCAAGACGGCCAAGCGGCCACTTTTGCTCACATTTGCCGACCCCAAGTCGGCCGACGTCACTGCGAAAGACGAGCAGCCCGCGCTGCCCGACGATAGCGATCTACGCGAGCGCAAGCTCCAAGATGAAATCATCGACTTGCGCACGCGGCTCGACGAGAGTAGTCGGCAGCGGGACGAGGCGCTCGCTCAGCTCGAGCTCTTTAAAAAGTGGAACGATTCGCTTCTCGCAACCAACACCGAGATGGACGCGACGACGTCGGCGCTGCACGAGCGCATTGCGCAAGAGCGGACAGCGTACGAAGCAAAGCATGCACGGCTGCTGGAGCTGCAGCACGAGCGCGACCACGCCACAAGCAAGCTCCACGAGCTCCGCGTACCGTCAGCATGTACCATGTATCGCATCCTTACATTCTGCTTGTAGGTGGAGAATGCCAGCATGGCCACGCGAGCCGACGACCTGCATGCGCGCCTCGAGGCCGCGCAGCAAGCCAAGCGAGCTTCCGATATGAAACTCGCAGCGCTCGAGACCGCACGGCTCGAAGACCTTCGGGCAATGGAGGCGCTTCGGCGCGAGATCCACGACGAAGACGACGCGACAACGGAGCTCGATAAGCTCATGGCGGTACGTTGGCATCCGACCTGGTGGAAAACTGGTATATGTATTGTTCGTAGACCGAGCAAGGCAATGCGACCTCGGCCACGTCCGCAAGCGTCAAGCAGCAACATTTGGACATACTCGCCTCAGTCCGGCAACAGCGCAAGGAGCACGAACAACACAAGGCCGATCTCGAGGCGAAGCTCCAAGCGCATGCTGACCACGTCAAGAGCGTCATCTTGGACCTCGAGCACCAGCGACAAGCCCAAGCGGTGGCCCAAAAAGTGATCACGTCGCTGCCACCAGCTGTGGTCACAGCGTCGCACGAGGTCCAGACCGACGCGTTGCCCGAGCCCAATGCCGCGTGGACGGATAAAAAGCTGGCGCTGACCAACCGAATTCACGAGTTGGAGGCGGAGCTCGAGGCCGAGAGGCAAATTGAAGCGTCGCTGAGCGATACGATTGCAGGAGCATCGGCGATCGAGGCAGCGCGCGCGGCCCGCGACCAAGCCAAGCTCCTCATCCTTCGGCGCTTCATGACGCAGCTGTCGACAACGGGCATCCTTGTGCAAAAGGTAGTACTTCAGTCGGACAGTCCTCAGCAGCCTTCACCACGTAGCATGGACGCATGGGCGCAGCGCACGCTCGCTTCTTGTATGCTGACGCAGCAGGGCACTGGCTGAGCTGGATGAGCATCGACGAGGCAAAGAAGGAAGGCGCGTTCCAGCACCCGCGCAAGCAAACCACGATCGAGCTCAAGCTCATCGTCGACATCTTGCCCGGCAAGCAGACGCATGTACGCTCGCTGTTGGTGATGCTGTCCTTACTGGGCAAATAGGTCTTTCACCGCACGTCGGCGACACCGGCGAACCGGTGCTTCTCTCTTATCTGTGCCAAGCCGTGCCGCACCATCGACATGGAGACCGAGACGCCCGAGCAATGCCAGCGGCTCATTCAGGGCTTCCGCCTCATCCGCCAAGCATTTCTGGACCACGGCGCGGTCGTGCTCTAAACTACGCTCTGGTTCTATTACGGTTATACGACTCTGCATTACTTGTACGCCTTGAACACTTGGTCGATCGCGTGTGCGACCTGGTCGTACTCGGGGAACTCGTTGATCTTCCCGCAGTAGACGAGGCTCGGCTTTTGCTGCATGGCGGTAAACACAACGCGCTGGAGGTCTTCTTTCGTCACAGCGTCGATCTTGCCGCAAATCACATCCGGGCTCTCGCGGATGCCGTACGTGAGCAGTTGCCGGCCAATGTCTTCGTACAAAATCATGCGCGACTCGAGGTTCATCAAGACGGACGACTTGAGCTGGTTCTTTGCCCGGCTCAACTCAGTCTCGTCGACGCCGTTCACTAAGCAGTATACACTCAACACAACATAAACGTAACCAAGAACGTACTGGCGACCGCCAACATTTGGTTGACGAGGAGGCCCACGAGCTGGCTCGTGTGCTCGGGCATGCATGCGCCGTAGATACCGAGGAGACCGTTGTCCGAGTGCAGCGACGAGAACGCCAGCGCCGACTCGACCCAGTAGTACCGGTTCAGCACGTGGGTGTAGAGGCGCGAGTACATGCCTTTGCCCGGGCCGCCGGCCGAGAACGAGTCGCCGCCGCCCAAGAGCGTATGCAACACGCACACAGGCACCAGATCTAGGACAGATATCAGATGTGGTCATGCGTCTCGTCAATGTACCTTTGTCGTGCCAGCCGCCGGTCGGGAAGGCGAGCGCCGCGTACGAGAACGGCATGTCGTCCTTCTCGATCGTGACGAGGCCGCCCGTGTAGACGCTGTTGTCGACGCTGACCGTCTCGGTCGCGGGCGGGACGGACCCAAAGAGCGCCGCTGCCTTCTCGACGAGCACGCTGTGCTCAATGCCCGAGCCCGCGAGCACCATGCGCGGCGCGACAAAGAACTTGCGGAGGTACGCGCGGACTGTCTCCAAGTTGAGTGCGTCGACCTTGTCTTCGGGGCACTGCAGCGGCCGGCCGAGCGTGGCGTGGGCGCCGTACGCAGCCGAGTGGATGCGCTCGAGGAGCAGCGTCTGCGGATTCTCGGCCAGATCTTCCGACTGGATCTTCATGATGTACTTGGTGAGCTCGATTTCGTCGGGAATGAGCGCCGGGTTCAGGATCGAGTCGGCAAGGAGTTCCAGCGCACGGTCCACGTTGTCGCGGAGCACGTCGATCGTGTAGATGATCTGCTCGCGGCCGCTCGACGCCGTGGTTTGCGCACCAATGGTCTCAAACTCGCTATTGCATCGTGGCATGAGCGCGGAGAATCGGCGCGAGCGTACCGGACGAGATCCGCATGCGACCGCGTCGTCGAGCTCTTGAACCCGAGATGCTCCATCATGTGCGTGATGCCCGTCGTATCGTCTATCGACAAGTGCATCATCGAACATGCATTCAATGGACGACCGGGCGTACTGGTTTCGTGGCGGCTGCCCGCGTCGACAAAGAGGCCAATTGTCGTGGCCTGGCCGTACGTCTCCTGCGAAATAACGCGAAGGCCGTTGGGCAGCACCGTCGTCTCCGTCTGCGGCGCCTTGAGCTGGCTCGCGGGCTTGAGAACGGGCAAGCTACTCGACAAGTCATGAGGATGCGCATGATGCGACTGCAATCGCAGCGCTGCCTACCCATGCATGGGCTCGTCAAGGCTCAGCTGGCGCTTGAACGATGCCTACATGATACCGAGGCGTGAGCGGCACGCCCATACGACGCATATCTGCGTACGAGGTCGGGCTTGAGGATGGGCTCGGTCGTCGCTTCCTTCGTGTGGACGTACTGCGTGAGCGTCGGGCCAGCGTCGGGCCGCGCACAGAAGGAACGCGATGCTTGGACGACCGTGAAGGGCGCGGCCTTGTGCTTGAGGAGATGGCGCTGAAGATGGTGGAAGCGCATGCTGGATGAAGCCTCGCGAAAACAAATGGAGGATGGCAAACACCGCAAGCCCGCCGGCAACGTATCCGGATGATGATGCGGGTGCCGGATAATCGGCCCGATCTTTCGCGAGCGCTGTTGTCCGAGGTTCGCCAGGCAACAAATGCTGCCACCCAAACCAAAGCAAGGGAGACGAGGGCTAGGATCCGAGGCTGACACTGCCTGCTATGAGGATTAAATGCAGGTTTCGAGAAGCGGCTGTATAGAGGTCTAGGTAGCTCCAATGTCTATAGGCCGAGTTAACGCTAGCATCAACGTTGCCAGTACCGTAGATCAAGGGTCCAATGCACGCTGGATCCCACCTTGATGTCGACGCACGACGATCGCCATTTGTCTCTCGACGTGCGGGAGCTGAGTTTGCACTTTGATGTAGCGGTTGCAAGTCGTTTCCTTGGTTTCCAGAATTTCGACCTCTTGCACTCGATACGCTGGTGGATATTATTATATTATAGAGGTCTGTCGAGGTCCGTCAGTCAAGGTGTTTCATAGCCGCCGAAGTATGCTTGCGAGGCGATCTACAGAATTGGTCCTTAAACCGAGGGTTTCCGTAATATGGCGAGGGGCCGCCCAATGCGCATTTCCAAATTCCCGACCTCGATCGATGGCGCAATACGGCAAGGCCTCGTACTGGGACGAGCGCTACACCAAGTACGTGGCAGCGTCTCGCTCGTTGCTCATAGGCTGCGATGGACAGGGACGCGGAGCAGTTCGACTGGTACCAGCGCTATGCAGGCCTGAAGGACCTCGTGCTGCAGTACCTCAAGAAGACGGACAACGTCTTGATGTCGGGCGCAGGCAACTCGCGCTTGACCGAAGAGATGATGAACGACGGCTTCCAGACCATCATGAACATTGACGTTTCGCAGGTCGTCGTCGATCAAATGGCCAAGAAGTATGAAGGACACGAGGGCATGCAATGGCAGCAGATGAATGTGTGCTCGCTCTCGTTCTCGGACGAGACCTTTGACAGCGTCTTCGACAAGGGCACGATGGACTCGATCTTGTGCGGCGAAGGCTCGACAGCCAACGTGGCCAAGATGTGCCAAGAAGTCTACCGCGTCCTCAAGCCCAACGGCGTCTTTTTTATTGTGTCGTACGGCGTGCCCGACAACCGTCTCAGCTACCTCGAGAACAACGAGCTCCACTGGAAGGTCACGGTGCACACGGTGCCCAAGCCCACGGTCAGCGCCGTCCAGGTCACGGACGCGGCCGACGCCAACGCTGTACATTACATTTACGTGTGCCAGAAGGGTGTGAAAGCCGAAGCATAAGCCGATCCACGCATCCTCATAATACAAGACATTGGTATTCTCGACATCATGGCCATGTCCACTACTTGTCGTTCCACTGCTTCTTGCAGCCGACGCACTTGTAGAACGTCGTCGATGGCTCGTCCGCCGACCGAATCTGGATCTGCATAAAGTAGGCCTTGTGGTGCTCGCAGAACGGGCAGCGGGCTACGCAGAGGAGAGCGATGGGTATCCAGCATCCCACGAGGCGACACCCTACTGTCGGTTTGGTCGACGTTCTCCCATGCTTCGTCGCCGCCCAAGACGTCGTCGACCTGCTTGCGCTGCAGGGGCACCTTCTTCTGGACCTAACGACGTTGCATGAGCCCTCATCGCTCTTCGGTCTCGGTCGCGGACCTTGCGCGTGATCTGGTAGATGTACGGGCATGTTTGGCAGCAGAAGCGCATGCCATCGCTCTACGCAGGGACGCTGAGCTTCCATGCACCTCCATGTCGACGGCGTACATCGGGCTCGACCATGAGCAAGTTGCCGCATGTTGGACAGAAGTGCATCGCGCGGCCAAGTCACCCAACCAAGAAGTCCCGACCAACGAATGGGCGCGTGGGCGATTTTGGTATTCGAGCTCCCGCCTAATTAGGACCATCCGAATTTCAACGCTGGGACATGCTACGCAGATCTTTTGCCGTTTGGAGCTTGGAGCATGGACGAGCAGCACGTCTTCTACTTTGAGGAAGTCCCGCTCGACGAGAATGAAGAGGACGACGCTGCCAAGGAGGCCACCGCGAGCTACAAGCGCGTCGACTGTGCGGCCAGCGGCGACGTCCCGGCCAAGCGTGGCGGCGCGACACTCTCGTTGGTAACAGCACCCTCCACCGGCCATGGCAGGCGAGCAGGCGTCGAGCTAGGTGGAGGCCCATGGCGAGAAGCTGCTCTACTTGATCGGCGGTGCGAACCGAGAAGCGCGCATGTTCAACGACGTACACGTTTACAATGTTGGTATGTCGGCCATTGCGAGGTGGTCATGCTTACACCACGATCGTAGGCACCGGGTCATGGAGCCAAGTAGGCTATTAGCGATCCCACGCACCATCTCATAGATCATAGGTGCATGTGGCCAACAGCGCGGCCTTCCAAGCCCGCAGCGGCCACTCGGCAGTGGTCCTCGGCACCCGCATATTCGTCTTTGGCGGCCTCAACCTCCCGCTGCAAACCACGTTCAACGACGTGCACATCTTGGACACAGGTAAACACCATCATCGCCGCATGGACATGCAGAGGAACGGCACGATCATGGAGCAATGTAGCAACCAAGTCGTGGTCGGCGCCAATCGTGCTAAATGATCCGCCGCGGCCGCGCAATGCGCATACTGCCGTGGTAACGACCAACGGCATGGTCGTCATTGGCGGGTCGTCCCCCACCGACGGGCCCATGAGCGATGTCTTCCTCCTCACGGTGCACGAGCCGACGCTGCGGTGGATTCGAATCGACTGCAATGGGCCGGTCATGGCGCCGCGCGAGCTTCACGCAGCCGTCCGCTTGTCGACCAAGCGTGAGCGCATCTACGTGAGCGGCGGACGCCTCGAGAACGGCCAGCTCTGTTGTGAAGTGGCGACGCTGGACGTGGGTACGCTCATCGTGCATCCCATGTTGTTGTCGACAAAGTCTTGTAGCGTCGTGGACGTGGCATGTCCAATCAAGTGGCGGCTTTCGCCGCTGCGGTCATGTGATTGGGCTCCTCGACACGGGCATTGTCCAGTATGGCGGCTGGGACGGCGGCAACGGCTTTTGCAACGACTGCTGGGAGCACCCAGGTACATAAAGTACCTCGACGCCAAGTTCTCTCATGCAGTGACTCTGCAGTGGGCGACGAGGAGCAACTGGCGCCTGCCACGCTGGACGAAGCGCGTCACGGCGACCACGTCCTTCTCGAGGACGGCGTCGACGTTGTCCATGACGGCGGGCGACTGGGGCACGCGGCGTGCGTCGTCGACAATCGCCTCTTTGTGTTTGGGGGCATGACGGTCAAAGACGACCTCGCCGATCTCTGGCACCTGGCGCGCTGCTAAGCAGGCTCCTGGAAGACGAAGAGGAAGGAAAAGGCTCTATCAAATTGGACTCTCGACATATTATATACACTTACGGCTAGACCTTTTCGACGCCGACGACTTCTTTGAGGACGTCGTAGACAGTGAGGCTAATGCCGGTCGAGAGCGGTCCCTAGGATGTCGATGAGAGGCTTGCGACAAGAGAGCGGAATACCCGCAGCCACGTGACCGTCGCGCCCTTGTAAAAGCCGCGGAGGCCTTCGTTCTGCAAAATGAGGCGGCACGTCGTGCGGAGGTTGGTGTATTTGCGCTCGCTCGTGCCCGTGAGGTACCCGTCGCTCTGAATGCGCTTCCGGATCGTATCGAGGGGGTACGTGACTACGCATGGTATAAGTATTTTGATGGCGATGGAGAAGGGCGCACCGGTTTGGGCCATCGAGCCAGCGAAATAACTACAGAGAAACTTGGAGAAGGGCGTGAGCGTATACTGCTCGCGCGAGACGGCGGGCGACCGCTGCTCGTACTGAATGTCGGCGAGGTACTGCTTGAACTTCTCGTTGAGCGTAAAGCCAATGCCGGTGTACGGCACAATGCCCAAGAGATTGACAAAGAGCCCCCGCGAGAACGACCGGAGACCCTAGAATATGTGCATGAGCCGACCGACGATAGCAGTTGATGAATGCAGTACGTCGGTGCGATACATGCACTGAACAGCGTCCAAGACGCTGTTGTACTGCATCTTGCCCTGCTGCACCATGTAGCGCGTGCGGAGTACGTCCATGGGGTAGGTAAAAACGACCGAGACGCCGCCTAGACACCAAAATCATCATACATTTGGTTGTCGCGAGACGTGTCGCACCGGCGATGCTGCCAGAGAGAATCAGCTGCGTATCAGTGAGCTTCTTTGTGTACGGCAGCGCCGAGCCCAGGGCTTCGTGCCGCTCGTGGTTGTAGCTGTGAAACTTGCGGCGGACAAAGTCAAACGACGAGTGCTGGATGCCCGCATACGGAAAGACACGGAGCAAGTTGAGCGAGTTGCCTCGAAAGAGCGCAAACACACCTATACGAGGATCGAACCATGTACGATCCGGGAGTCACGAACCATCGCGGGTCGCAATTTCAAGCCCGAGCTTGTATGCGTTGCGCAGTGAAAAGTGGAGCGACTCGGTGACCTGGAAGAGCACCTTGACGCGGTCGACGGGCGCGAGCGCCGATTTAGAGATCATGCCAGCAATGCCACCGACAGCAAACGACTTGGAGACCGTCGTTACGTGGTCGGTCGGGGCAGTTGCGGACTGTGGCGTCGTCGGCGACGGGGGCAGGTGGTTGAGGTGTGGCGCCGGCGGCAAGTACGTCGTCGTGCGTGGCAGCGTCACGCGCACGGTCGCCTTCTCGTCCATTGTAGGTACGCGCGGGATCTCAATGATGAACATGCCATCCGTTTCATTCACGAGGCCAAACTCGATCGCGCAGACCTCTTTGACCCAGGACGCGTAGACCATCTGCACGCCGAGGGGGCTAATCTCCTTCCAGCGCATGACGAGCGTGCAAAACTCGTCAAACGAAATCATCGTCATGGCCGTCGCGTCGTCGCCGTCGTGGGTCTCGTCCTTGGCGTGGCGCGCGAGGCTTTCGCGCGTGAGCCGCTCGAGCTGGCTGGTCGTGATGAAAAGCTGCGACGGATCGGCTTGGCGGATCTTCTCGAGGAGCGCAGCGCCCGAGATCTTGCCTGAGTCATTCGGGTCGAGGCGCATGAAGAACTGCTTGAGGATCGCGAGCACCTCGGGCGTCAGGTCAAAGTCCGGGTTGTAGAGCTTGAGGTTCTCCATGGTCCATGTGAAGTTGAACTCCTCTTCCTCGGACGTCGTCTTGGCCGGCGACGCGCCATGATCCGCGCTCCGAGCCCTCGACATCCGCGGGTGCGCACTGGAAGCGTGGGGAAGTTGCAAAATGGCAGCAATTATCCTAATTGAACTTGGTTGCCACAGTGGGATGCTATTATTTTAGCGCGCACCTCGTCTCCCCACTTGGTGTTTGTATACCTCATGACGTATTTTAATTCCAGCCGGGCACAAAATGTTCCAAGCAAGCGGCTAATCACACGCCATTTGTCTGGCGCGTTGAGGTGCGAGTTGGAGCGACACCGTCGAAGTACAAGGTGGGAACGCCCGCAAAGCACAGAAGAGAAGCGCAAGCAGAGACTCGTGCACCAACGATGATCGCACACCAACGTGATTAATGCCAGCGCGCTACGGTGTGGCGAGACCATGGGTGTTCTTGTTTGGTTGAGTAGGAATTGACGCTGGGCCTGACATACAATCGCAACATTTCCAGCAAAAACGACGGACGTTTGCTCTTGCTACAGTAGTGCATGGGAGGTGGAGAGCGCTCGTATCTCGTGATGGAAAGCTCTATAGACCGCCCAATGGTTTCTGCGCCAACCTTCAGCGCCAACACCTTCCCGAGAGTCGGACATTATAGTTGTTACTGTGCTATCAAGTGAGTCATTGTTCTGGTGCTTACAAGGTATGCTTGCTACCACTGATATGCTACTTGGGCAGTACGTGTCGTCGTACGAGGACATCATTCCATCGGTTCCCAGGGCGCACTAGGGTCCACGCACATCGGCTACAAGTTGGGTGTTTTTATCGTCAAGTCTCGAATTCCCAGTTTTTGCCTCAAAAACCTAATTTCGACCCATTGTTGAGTAAACGATCCACCAATCAACGGTCACGGGAGCGCATGCGGTCCTTGGACGACAGGCCACGATAGGGATCGGTCCAAGGAAGCGGATGGAAGCCATCTACGAGTGGAGGCCCATGGCGCTGGCAGCATCGGCGCAGCCATGGCACGAGCGACCTCCAGCCAGTCGTTGCAAGATACCAGCGCGCTCGAGCGCGTTCTCAAAGGCTACGCAGCGCCATGACCACCTTGCTGCGGCGAGCATGCACCTTTTGTAGAGCCCGCAACGGCGACGTAGCACCCGAGCATGTGCAAGCGGCGCTCCCATGCATCGATGCGTCGAATGCATTCGTCGTCCCAGTGTATGTCTACGAGCTGGCTGACGTCGAGAACGACGCCACCGGCATTCTCGCCTAGTATGGCAATCGGTCGCGACAAAGAGGATTTGGACGGTACCTGGAGCGTCCGTAACGTGATCAAGAGCATGCTCAACGCGCTCCCAATTCGAAAAGCAGAGGGCCTTGGCGTGGAGGGAGACCTTGAAGAGCTGCGTGTTCTCTGTCGCCGCATACGGCTGCGCGGCAACGATGGCCTCGACGGACACGACCGCCGGCTGCCAACGTCGTTGGGCGATGCTGTTCGCATAACCTTTCACATTACAACGCGACTGCATGCGTAGTGTACCTCAACACGTAGGCTGTCAAGCTTCCATAGTAGACACCGCCGAGCGCGGAAGCAACACACCCCGCGGCCCACACGATGGCATCACCATAGAGGTCAAGTCGCAGCAGCATTCGAAGCTCTGTCATATCACAGATCGCAGGCAGCGCGGCGAGAAAGACGGCGGCGCGGACTGGCGCCGGAACGAGGACGTACGCGTACAGGTTGCAGTAGGCGCAGAGACCCACGAGCGCGGCCGCCAGCATCGACGCCACCTGGGTCCGCGCACTCTTTAGCACGAGCGCCGAGCGGGCAAAGCACGCGACCGGTGGAAACAGCGGTGCAAACGCCAAGCTGCCAAGACACACGAGGCCGTACGCGACGAGCTCCTTGTGCATGCGCAGCTCCCCAAACGCCGCGTCGCTCGTTTGCTATAGAGTACTATGCCATGAGGAAAGGCTCATTGAGATGGAGCTGCACCTTGGTTGTTGCGCAGCCAGCGTGCTGGATCAAGGCAGCTGCAGAGAGGTAGATGGAGAGGGCGCTGAGGACAACGTTGGCGCTAAGTTGAAACGCTGCCATGACGCTTGACCCGGCGAGCTCGATGACGTATGCAAACGCGTGGCGCACGTCCATGGGGTCGTCCATGCGCGCAGTGAGTGCTCTCTCAAGACCGTGGAGCTCCGAGTCGTCGGCAAAGGTGACATGAACGGCAATGCCACAGAGACAAAGGCCAAGGAAGAGCTTGTTGGGAAGGTACTGGGTGTTGGTCATTGGAGATTTAGGCGCAGTGACTTTGACGGTGAGGCTGCTTCGACGCGGTTGCGTCCTGGGCGGCGAGCGACATACGCTGGCGGCCCGACGAGAGGCGTCACACCCCGGCATGACAGTTCGCAGAAACGGAAGCGCGGCGAGCAGGATCACTGCGAGCGCCATATAGACAACTTGGTTCAGCGACGACGGTGCGAAGAGTGGCGTGATTGCTGGTTGAAGTAGGACATTCATCTCGCGCGTCGCAATGTTGAGGGCAGCGCCCGCGAGGAGCCCCCCGCCGGCGACGCGAGACAGATAAATCCAACGATGCAGCTTAGCGACGCCCATGCCGACCAAGAGTGCTCCCGTGAGACTCGTGAGGACGAGGCCCACGGCTTGTCGGTGGATCTCCGAGTCGTACGTCGCACGGATCCACGGAGCGAACGACGACATCTCTTCCGTACCAAAGCAGAGAAAGCGCGACGAACCAAAGAGCGCATAGAGCAGCGGCACCGCAATGCTCATGACGACGCTCGTTTGGACGGGGACATGGAGCGTACTCGACAGGACCATGTCTTCGGGCAGGATCAAGCACGCCAAAACGACCGCAGTCGTCACGTCGTGGGCCAAGTGCACACGAGGGCGATACGAAGGCAGCCACTCGAGCACCGGCATGCGCTCCGCTAGCCATATGCGGGCGATCCGCCATGCAAGCAAGCACGGACGCATGACCAACAATCAGTATCTATTTTGGCCTTTCAAATGCCACAATTACCAAACTAAAAATGGTGCGTGCGCCATATTTAAGCCGTAACCAATCAACCGTCAATTTCAGTTTCGGATTGTCTCCACATAAAGTCGTATTAGGGCAATGGGCGATGGCTACATGAGAGTATAGTTGCTTGGGACAGAGTTCTCTCTACCTCTGGCCTCCTTCATGTTTCCAAGCGAATTCAAGCTCTAGGTACGTGCGGGCGCAGGTGGCGCTTATTTTCTTATTTTCGGCATTGTTCGACGCTGGCGCTGAAACGAACGACGGTTGAACACCTTCCATTTGTGTTATTCGAAGGGTTGAAGTGGCAACGGCTTCGACCCTTATGTTATAACGCCATATGTAGGAGTGTTAACCGTGTTACAACACGCCAACATTCATCGAAACCTTCGATGGACCGTTTCGAAGCTTGAAAGGGCGCTGCAAAAGCGCTGGCCACCAAGTACATTCGATCTTTGACCTTGGACATGGTAGCCAAGCTCCTCCGCTTCCTGGGGGTCGCAGCCCTCGCGTCGTTCGCGCTCGCCGCCTGCCCCAACAAGTGCTCGGGTCATGGCACATGCGGCCCCAACGACATTTGCTCCTGCCAGCAGAACTGGATCAACGCGGACTGCTCGGGGCGGCAGTGCCCGTTCACGCGCGCGTGGCAAGACACGGCGCTGTACGCGAACGACGCGCATTACTACGCCGAGTGCGGCGGACGTGGGACGTGCGACCGCTCGACCGGTATCTGCACCTGCGACACCGACTTTACTGGGTCGGGCTGCCGCCGCATGCGCTGCCCGGGCGACTGCAACGGTCACGGCGTGTGCCTCTTCATGGAAGAGCTCGCGGTACTCTCAACGGATCCGCGGGTCGGCGGTACGGCGGGTACGACGTACACGATGTGGGACCGAGAGAAGATCCAAGGCTGCCAGTGCGACCCGGGTTGGGAAGGCTACAGCTGCTTGAACCGCGTGTGCCCCAAGGGTGACGATCCGTTGACCGTGAACGACCCATCGTACCCCGCGGTCACGCAAGTGGAAATGATGCAAGGCATTGCCGTCTACGGCACGTGGACGGCGGCGACCTCCCTTGTCCTCAAGTACACGGACCCGTATGGCAACACTTGGTCTACGAGCGCCATCACGGCTGCCAACGAAGCTGCTCTTTGCACCAACATCCAAACGCAACTTCGCAAGCTTCCCAACCTTGCGCTCTATTCGACCACGCTGTCGGGCGAGGGCCAAGTTACTGTCGTAGCGCGCGCTATCAAACCGGTGACTCGCGACGCGGCAAACCCAGCGGTGGGCACCATCGGCGCAACACTTACGTCGGGTACCCCAGCTACTTTTATTGCTGCTTGCGTTGTATCGTTCCCGTCTGGCCCCGGCACCACGGGGTACCAGTACCCACTTACGTGCGATATTGCGACGCATACCAGCCCTGGCTCCCAGCCGCTCCAAGTGCAAAGCGCGGTCACCGGCTGCACTGTCGTAGAGCACTACGATGGCGGGCTCGCAAGCCCAGTGACGCTTCCCTTCACGGAGCTAGCCACTTGCTCGAACGTAAGATGCATGCCGTATGAATGGGCGCTCATCCTTGACACTAGCGCGGCATTTGCGACTCGTCGCGTGGCGAGTGCCAATGCTTCTCTGGCCACAAGGGTCTCGCCTGCGATCTCCAAGAAGCGCTGGTCTAGAGCTCATTCAGCAAACCATTGTCTCGTAACCATGTATATACATACGCCTTGGATATGCACACACCGCCTTCTCGAAAACGAAATCACATTCTGCAACAAGAGCGCGCCACGTCAACGCACTTGCCGATCATCCGGATAATCAAGCACACACTATTCAACAACGCTTGAATAATTGGTGTCGACGCAATGATGGCCGCGTCCGTCTTCCTGGCTCGGATCGGGCGGCAACCTCTCAGCGCTTGGTTTGTCCGAGGGCTAGCAACGAAGAAGCCGCCGATCGACCTGCGCGAAGAGGACCTCGACGAGTCGTTTGTCAAAGGCAGCGGCAAGGGCGGCCAAAAGATCAACAAGGTCCGCAACAACGTCTTCCTCAAGCACCGCCCAACCGGCCTCTTTGTGCAATGCCAGAAGACGCGGTCGCTCGACGACAATCGCCGCGTCGCGCGAAAGCTCTTGGCCGCCAAGCTGGACGACCACTTTAACGGCGCGCAGAGCGTTCGCAGCCTCAAGATCCTCAAGCTCCAGAAGAAGAAAGCGAAGAAGAAGGCCAAGTCCCGCCAGAAGCACCACGCCGGCTCCAAAGACGGCGCTGCTCCAGGTATGGGCGAAGATGATGACGGCGATGACAGTGAGGACGAAGATGACGAAGATGACAGCGAGGACAGCGAGAACGAAGATGACGAAGATGACAGCGATGACAGCGATGACGAAGATGACGAAGATGACAGTGCGCAGGACAAGGCCACTGCAAGCACTCAAAGAGAGACGCAGTAGCGTGCTGGTGCATATTAAAACGAGAGGTCCACGGCTTTTTCTTGCTTTTGGCTTCGAGATCCTTCGGGTGGGAGGTGCAAGTTCTCGAGCTTGAGCTTCCGCCGTTCGCGCTTGATACCGAGCTGGGCGTGTTCGAGCGTGTGGGACGTCACAGACTGGAGGCGCGCGAGCTTGTGGACGCAAAAGAGCCCGGAAAACTCCCTACACACAGACCCGTGAGCAACGGAAACTGTGAACGAGACGCATGTACTGGAGCTCGGAGGGCACTTGTTGCAGGTCGCCAAGGAACGAGCTCACTTCAAACGCATAGTCGCCAATATGCCGGAGCTGCGCGGCGAGCGACCGTGGAAACAAGTACAGCGGGATGCTCATCATGCACACGAGGCGATGGCGGTGGCAGTGCAGGAGTCCCTTGATCGCGCGCAGGAATTGTACGAGGGGAGCTGCGTTCGTGACATCGCTGTAGATGACGGGCGATCCGACGTCGCTGAGCGCGACGCGCACGACTACGTTGGGCGGCGTCGCGTCCAGCAACGAGACCAGCTGGAGGTAAACATCGCGGTACGCCATGCCGGGAAGCGTACTAATTTCGACGCTCGTTTCCTTCATCTCACTTGCCATGGGCTTGGAGAGGTCAAAGCTATGGCAAAACCGATGGGCACTACTACTGCTGCTGCTCGTTGGAGCCTCGGCGCTGTACTTTTCGTACTGCCAAGCAATCGTGAGCTTGGATTGCACCTGTGCCTTGACTTGCTTTTGCGCGAGGCTGAGCTCCAGTGGCAGCGACTCCAAGACGGCGCTGTCGGCCGCGACCGTGTGCGCGTTGGCCAAGCCTTCGGCGGCAAAGTACCGCAGGAGGTCGGCGCTGTACGAGCCAAAGCAGGACGACTCGAGGAGCGTGAGCGACCCGAGGAGGAGACCGCCGCCGAGCAGCGCGTCCATCTCACGCAGACCGCTGGACGTAAGCACTTGGTTGTTGATGAACGGCTTGGTGCCACGCAGCGGCGCGGCCGCGCTCGTCGCCCGCCGGAAGCTTGACATTGCACCAAGAACGCCACTGAGTGCAAGTGCATTGCGCCTCTTATTTTCGGCATGTGCCACCCATATCTGCTCTTGGTCGCGGCATATTCTCTCTGCCGTGTGGTGGCGGACATCCAATCCTCGAACAAGTAGCCCAGAGTGGCTTGCACGTGCCGTGCAGGAACCCTCGTCTGATCGAGCGCAACTTGTGCAACGTTGCAGCTCTTGTGGTCAGCGATCTGTTTTAAATTCGGCAAGAGTGCTGCATGCCGAATTTAGGGCGTAAACCTTGAAAATCGAGTATACAAATGCCAAGATAGTTCAAGTAGCCGCTGTCCGTCGTGTGGAGCAAGCAGCGATGCACGAGTCGGCCGTCATGTTCCTCGCGCCCTGGAGCGCGATCATGGGCCTGCTCTACCTCACGCCCCTCTCGACCTACATGGGCGCTAGCAGCCTCCCGATCGTCTTCTTCATCAGCGCAATCCTGGCCCTCCAATTCCTCGTCGTGAAGCGCTCCAACTACAGCAACGTCCGCACGACGCAGGAGCTCCACGTGCGCCGCAAGGTCCAACACGGTGCGATACCAAGTGCATGAAGGATGCTAACGCTGTGTGTAGCGGGCACAGGCGTCATGATCGTCATTGCGACCTTTTACGGCTCGGCCCTCGAAGGTTTGCGGCATCGCCGCTTGTGCAACCGCTCAATCCTTGACCGTAGCCACGGTTGTCTTGGCCATTTGCGCCTTGACATTCTACTTGGTGAGCTTCATGCGCAAGCAGTCCAAGGCTGTCGACGCGATCTACCTGCAGATCTTTGGCCCGATCCTGCGCCAGCACGAAGTTGGCCACCGCCTCCCTGGTACGTCGACTGCACGAGGCGACCATCGCTAAATGCGATCGCGTAGGCGCCTTTTACTTTCTCATGGGGTCGGCGCTGTCTTTCGTGTTGTACCCCAAGTTCATTGCCCAGCTCGCCGTTTTGCATGTATGCTGCGATTGCCTGGTGGCGATGAGATCTTCTAGCGGATGGTAGCTCTCGCTCGGTGATCCCTGCGCGTCCTTCTTTGGCATCACGCTGGGCCAACACTCGACCAAGCTATGGAACGGCAAGACCCTGGCAGGCGTCATTGGCTGCTTCCTCGTGTGCCTCCTTTCGAGCTTTGCCTTCCTCACCACCGCCACGCACGATGCGATCACGGACCTGAGTGCGTTTCAGGTGTGTCCTTCTCTTCTTCGGTGCCTCGTAGACTGACGTGGCCGCAGCAACTGCTCTTGATGGGCTTGGCGGGCGTCGCTGGCGCGATCGGTGAAGTCCTCAACGTCGGCTGCGATGACAACCTCTCGATGCCGCTCTTCTCGGGGCTCTTCATGACCATCTTTTACCACACTATTCTCGCGCTGGAATAGACGCCCTCTCTGCTTTGTACATGATCAACGCTATTGCGTCCAAATAGAGTACAAATAATAACGACTGTAGTCGCTCGTTGTTTCTTCCTTCTCCGATGAGTTGTCATGTTGGTATGAGGACATCGAGCATTGGGCAAATCGATTATTGATCAGTACGAGAAGATTCGATTATAGATTTATGAGATTGTAGCGGAGGACCGAGAACATCTTCTACGATGACCGTAGCAGCGTCCATGACGACCCAAGGCGTTAATGTTGCAGACTGAAAAATTGGAGACAATCATTTCAGGATTGAACACAGAGTGTAATCTGCGGAGTGGCGACTAACTAGTTTCTAATTCAGGAGAAGCGGTCGTAGTAGAATCGATCAGAGAATTGTAGTCAATGTTTAAATCACGCTGGGATCAACATCAAGAGTTTCCTCACTTCGAGTAGCACGACACAATGTATTGTAGAATGTAGGAACAAAAAGACCAGCTGCCTCATTGGAGGAGACTGCCAGTGAGTATAGTCCCGTGGCTCTTGCAGACTGAAAAATTGGAGACAATCATGGGAACGATTGAACACAGAGTGTAATCTGCAGACTAGACTTCCGATATATATGTGGCATACAGAGTCAACCGCCCTTTACAGAGCGTTGGAAGATGTACACGAGCACACCTGTCGACCTCATACGCCTTCGCTATGTGCTGCGTTCTATGCCCATTTGATGACTAAGAACATCCCGCGGGTTGTTGGACGAGCGCACGACTTGCTACTGTCTAGATGGCGGAAATTGCAAACTGATCATCCTACGCGGCCTCGCTGCCAAACGACTGGTCGGGATCGTATCCGGATGCACCAATCAAATGCCTTTGTTAAACCCTTATCCTTTAATATACGAAAAACAACCAGTCTGAGAGGTATTTGAATTGAGAGAATAACGGTTTCGCGCTGTAGTTACGCCACTCATGGCGGGAAATACTGCAGGAAACGAAGCTCCGCCGTTGACAATCAAAAGTCAAGTTAACCAATTGCCGCAGCGACCGCCGGCGTTGACATATCACATTGGGGGCCAGTTGATCGTGGACGAAAGAGGCCAGAGAAGCACTTGCCCTCTTAATTCGTCGCGCTGCCGAGGAGCTGCCGAGGAGGCGGAGCGCTCGTGTACGAATAGCGTTAATGTAGCCCGCTCCACCGGTTGTTTATGCTGTGAAGAATAGCTTGAAGAATATATTTCTTCGACCCTTTTGATTACTGGTACCAAGCACATTGCAATTAACCGCAAGCGCAGATCAGAGCGCAAATCGCAAATTTTTGAAAACGGCTGTGCCCTATCCCCAACCGATCCCGATCGTACACCGGAATTGGCCAATGGGGCGCCAGAGCCTGTCGGAATTGATATTGCCTTTGGGAAGCGACCGACTCCTTGGCGGCCGATCTTTATTCCAGTTGCAAAGATTGTAGTTTCATGGCAGCAGAGTGGACCACCGAGTCGTCGGTGCTTCTCGGCGTCAACACGACGCTGCTGCTGCTCATCGGCGCGGTCTTTGGCCTGAACGTCGCGCGTCACCGCCGCCAGCGCCACGACGCCTACTCGCAGACCATTATGCTGCGCCTCGCGCTCACGTTTCTCATCACGGGGGGCGCGTACTTTCTGAACTTTCTATGGCAAATCGTGTATCGGAGTGAAACGCTGACTGAGATCCAAGAAGCGGTTGGCCACTTTATCGCGGGTCTCCTCGAAGGCATCGTGCTCCTTTCGTTCTTTGCGCTCCTCGTCGTTCAAGTCGGTGGCACGACGCACGCCGTGCGCTTGTTTGCCCAGTTTGCCAGCAACGGCTCCGACGACGCGAGTAGTACGTCCTTGGCGTCGGCGCAACGACACTACAACGTCTACCGACGCATTCTCTGTCTCTTTGTGCTGGCGCGCCCGTGCATGGCCGTCGCGCTCTCGCTTCTGCACCCCGAGTCGAATCCGACCAAGGCGATTCGCACCGTCATTGCGGTTGGCAACCTCCTCTTCCTCATCGCCGCGGTCATGTCCGTCGTGCGAACGCTGCGGCGTCTCCGCGTCGAGCTTCCTGCATCATTCCATGCCGAGCTCAAGTTCATCGTTGTCAAGACGCTGCTGCTGCTCTCGGTCATGCAGTGGACCATCTACACTTATATTGACGAGGACGCGAGGACGCCGTCGCACTTGGAGGTGTACTGGAGCGCGTGCGTGCTCGAGGTGCTCCTCCTCTCGATCGCATTTTACGCAGTGTCGGCGCCAGCATCGTTTGCGATCGCCGACACGCCCCGCGCACCGTGGTGGCGCTTCTGGGACGTCGCGGAGAACCCGATTCGCGGCAGCAAGTCGCTCGACCGCCTTCCCGAATCCGAGTTTAGCCCTGCGCCAGCGTCGCCGCAGCACAAGGTCTAACTCTCCGCTCGGTCTCGAGCATGACTGTCGAGACGACTAGATACTCCATACCTTTGCATGCCCCACGATTATAACGAAAAAGTGAGTTGCTCATTCGACTACAGAGTTGCACGCAGTCGAATAACACCCGAGCTTGCTTCCTTGATGCCACTGCCTGCACTAGACCTTGGCCAAATCCATGACTCGTCGACCTCATGGATCATTACTCCTGGATAGAGGTGCTGTAGCCAACATGTTGCTGGATCAACCTCGTGTAATGTGCCCGGCTTCTGTGAAGTCGACGATAGACAATGTACTACAGGCAACGACCGCCTTGGGTCTGGAGCCATTACTCGGTATAAAGAAACGAGTTTTGCGCGCGACGGCGCATGGCGATCGACGCCCGCAGGCTGCGCGCCTTTGTCTTGTGCCCCGCGCGCTTGTCGGCCGTCGACATCATGTTGTACTTGGCTTGGCCGTGGCCACGCACTTGAAAGATCTCGCGCAACACATCGTTCTGCATCAAATGCACTTGGAAGCCTGTCGCGAGCACGCGACGAAGCACGTCCGCCTGGAAGAGCCGGCACCACGTGCTGACTTCGATGAGTTCGTCCTCGACGTGCATGTCTCGCTCCTGCGGTCCGACGCCTACGCCCCCGACGCGCTATAGCATTTGTCTCAAAGGCAGACAAGCACCTGTTTCCAGCGTCTCGAGCACCTCCTTGAACGTCGAGCGCTGCGTCTTGCGGTTCTTCTTTCCGATCGTCTTGCCCGACTCCTTCATGAACGACTAGACCGCAGCAACAAGGTCATTGAACTGCAAAGAAGGTGCGTACCTGGATCTTGGGAATGAGCCCCGAGATGGGACTGGACGACGACTCTTGATCGTACGACCACGACGACTGCGCGATCGCGTACTTGTACTCGATAACGAGTGCTAGCGCCTCACTGGCCATGGCGCGCACCGTTGTGTCTTCGCCCGCTTGCACCATGTCGACCAGCGCCACGATGTGATCGGCGATGATCGAGCTTTGGTCGTAGATCATCGGCACGATCTGCGACGGGTTGAAACAGCTCAGCAAGAAGGCCCAACACTCGATGGCAGCCACTTTGAAGGTCGGGTCGTCGTTGAGCCCGTCGTCGCTCTCGTCGCGCTGGTCGTCGTCGCTGCCAATGCTATCGTTGTCGTCCTTCTCCACGTGGCGGCCCGTGAGGATCGACCCGAGGAGCTCCAGCACCTCCCACTTGGGCTGGTCTTCGTTCGTGCACATAAACACGGAAATGCTCAGTGCGTAGATTGCTTCGACGCGTAGCTCGGTGTCGCACTTGTCTGTGACCGTCCGGCGAAGCGGCTGCAGCACGCCTAGGGCAGGATATGACGCTTCAGCCTTTACAAGGCCATGACAATCGCACCGTTGTAGTAAGCCTCTTCGTCCGAACCCAACGTGATCGATACAAGGGCCAAGAAGCGCAAGCAGAGCACGGCTGACTCGGGATGCCGCTTCTTCAAGCACGCCAACGCGGCCGTGACGAGCCGCGACTTGATACCGCCCACTTCTTGCGTCAGTGCCGACGCACAGAGCAATACATTCAGCTACGAGTCGTGTGGGTACACATCAATTTCGGTGCTCGCACCTTCTCGAGAGCTGCGATCCGCGTCTCGTCCCGCTTCTCTTCCAGCTCCTCGACGAGGTCATGAAGCGCCTCCTTGGCGTCCTTGGACTTGCCATGGCCGCCCTTCCACTCGTCAAAGCTGTCGAGCTCCGACTCGGAGCTTTCAGCGTCACGGTTCGTGAGGTTGCTCACTGCCTCGACCGACCGGACGTCTTCCTCATCGCCGTCGTGCGAGAACGCATGGCGGAGGAGACGCTTCCCTTCCTAAAGGCTGCATGAGTCTCATGGAGCCATGTGCTTGTGTCTACCTCGCTCAGGCGCCGGCGATGGTGGGCGTCGAAGCGACTCGTCCCGTGGTGCTTCTTCCCGGACTTGCCCATCTCGTCGTCCTCGTGGATTGCGAATCTGCGGATGGCATTTTGGATCGTTTCTTGTCCGGATACAAGCAAACGCCAATCGGATGCCTTGCCATTGGCCCCGATGGCAACCATTTTAACCAATGGCATCGCGCGCTTTTGGATCTTGCAATTGCATGTTGTGGGCTTTGCGGCATCGTGCAAAGCTGTCCTTGACCAACCCTCGCTTGGTTGTTGAGCAATTATTTACTTTTTCTTTTTCCCCTTGGTCTTCTTCTTCTTCTCGAGCTCGAGCTTGGCTTGGAACTCGGCTTGCTTTCGCCACGCCATTTGGCGCATGCGGTCGTCGTCTTCTCGCGCTTGGCGCTGGCGTTCGGCCTCCATTCTTTCGCGGTCACTCGACCGCTCCTTGGCGCGGTCGTCCAGCCATTGCTCCTAATGCACCTGCTAAATCCCAGGCTCCGATACCGTTTACCGTACATGTTCTTCTTGCTTTTTGCGGTCTTCGTTGCGCTTGCGCTCACGCTCCGCAGCGTTCATTTGCCCTTTCTTCATGAGCCCGCGCTTGCGCTGGACGACGTCGGCCGCGTCAATGTTTTCGGTGAGGCGCTTGGAAATCAAGTTGGCGTCCGAGAGCGCAATCTTGTTGTTGCCAACGTCGAGGCAGAGAACACTGCTGTTGTTGTAGAGGCCTTTCACGAGCGCCTACAGTCCTGTCGATCCCTTTCACACGAAGCAATCGTATAAGATACCTTGCCTCCCTCGACGCCCAAGCGCGTGCGCCAGAGGTTCACGCTCGTCAGCGTCGCATTTTTGGCGAGCATCGCGCCGAATGCAGCAATGCCCGAAAAGTCGGTCTCGTCCGCCGTCAGTGGATTGCTCTCCAAGCTCAAGGACGTGAGACCTAGCGATCATTGATGCATCTACGCGCGGCTAGCAATGGCACTGGACCTTCGTTCACCGCGAGCGCCGCCGCAAGCTCCTTCATGGTCATCGGGCCAAAGTTGTTGCTTTCGGCTTCAAGCTTTTGCAGAGATGTGTTGCGCCGCAAAACGTTTGCAATGGCCTACTCGATACGTCAAATTCACGAAACAAACTCGGATCTGCATACTTTTCCAGCCATGTCGTCGAGCTGGTTGCCGCTCAGATTGAGCGCGCGCAAACTCAAATTGAACGGCAACACTTTGGAGAGGGCGCGGGTAGCGACCGAGTTGACGCGAAATTGGGCTTCCATCGGCGTTGTATTGGCCTTGACAAGGTCCAGCCAGACTTCGAGCTTGGGGTTGTTGGCGATCTCGGCGATCTCTTCGCTGAGCTCGGTCTCGCGCTGTTGCCGCTTGCGCTTGATGGTTTCGCGCAGGTAGTTGCGCGCCGCCGTCTACAACGTGTACGTGAAGAGTCGAGTCGCACGCGTACAGGGAAATGCACTTGAATCTTTTGCTTCATGCGCGAGTCGCGCTCCGCGCTGTGCTCCGAGTTGAATTCTTCTTGGAGCCGCGCGGCGTCGTCGTTGAAGAAGCCTTTGGGCTGAATCCCGCGGTCAATGAGCTACCGGCGACGGCTCAGCTCTCGTCGACACCCCGCTACGTACCTCGCGCCGAAGGTCGTTTTGGCCGAGCGAGAAGGCGTCCACCGGCGTGCTGTCGTCGGGCGTCACCCGAGACATGATGGCCTCGCGCTCGTCCGGCGGGAGCTTCTCGAGGTCGATCTCGACGTCGTCATCAATGTCAAAGTCTGTCGCGTCCATACGAGCGTCGGATTCGGTGCCCTCGGACGCTTGGCAAAGCACGCCTCTCTCGAAAGATCCAACTTTTGTATTCTAGATCGCGCCTGCTCATTGAGAATCTTCGACCTCCTGGATGCGATCGTGTGCTTATACGACGGCCAACCCTTCGCCCAAGCGAGCCTTCATGGCCTTCATATACGTGGCCTTCGTATACGCTATTGCCGACTGGGAATCTCATTCGATTCGAGTGCATGAGTTAGGCGTGTCTTCTCGAATGCTTATTGTGGCGTCGACATGGAAGCATGCACAGCCGCGGTGACAGCTTCTTCTTGGGCTTGAAAAAGGGCCCAGCGACCAATGCCGTACGCAAAATAGTCGAAGGCCGGCGACGACTTGGGCGACTGCACGATCGCCCACGTCGCCCAGTAGAGATGCGCCGCCAGTGCATAGACATTGGCTTCAAGTCGGAGAGCTTCAATCGCCGCTTCGTCCGCGCTTTTCAAGTACGCGGCGCAGAACGCCCGCTGGTCCGCCTCGCTGGGGTACATGGCGACGTCGCCGACTTCGTCGGGCGGCCCGTGCATAAAGTAGCACCACTCGGCAAAGTGGTTGCCAATGTCAAAGCCGCGCGGGTTGTAGTGGCTGTACTCAAAGTCAATAAAGACCACATCATTTGTCTCGCTCGACAGCATGATGTTGCTGCAGTTGAGGTCGTTGTGGCAAAACACGATCGGCGACGGCACGGACCGCACGAGAGCCTGCAAGCGCGCCCACCCGAGCGTCCACGCGTCAAAGTCCACAGGTGTTGGCGTCACCACGTTCTGTGCGAGACGCAGCCACTCGTCAATCGTATCGAGCAGCCGCGGCACCCGGTCGATCGCGATGTCGACACCGTGGAAGACTCGGAAGCGGCGCGCGACCTTGGTGAACATCGCCGGCGCTCGAAGATCCACCGCAGTCAGCGGTCGGCCAGCAATAAAGGTCTCAATGCGTCCATTTTCAAAGGTTCCGATGAGCCCGAGGCTATCGTGGTGAACGTTAGCCACCAAACGTGGATGCTGCCGTACCCAAGATGCTGCTCGGAAAGCGCACGGTAGATAAAGATCTCTTCGTCACGGTGCAAGAATGCATCGAGGCCGTGGCCATACACGCGAAGGACGACCGAGCTATTGGTCGTCAAGCAGGCAAACATCGTGTTGGATTGGCCGCCTACACGAGGCTAGCTAGTCTCGGCAAGGTAGCGGCGACGTACCGTGCAGCTGCGAGATGGAGATCGCAGTCTCCTGCGCCCACCCAGGCACAAGCGTCTGGAGAACATTGACGATGTCATCCCGAAGGCTCGACTCTGGCTGGGCGAGGCTCGCGATCCGTGCTGCTGTGATCTCAAGGTGCATTGTCTCCGTGTATTTGCATGTGACGTCGCGTCATTTGATTGGATGAATCTGAACCAGGCCTAAGCTTCGCCGACTCTAGCCTAAGGCTTCGGACGCAAGCGGAAGGGCAAAGCGAGCTTGGACGACGACGTGGAGTACACACGTGATCGTACTGCGCAACTCCGCTAAAGCAGGCAAAGAGTCGACCCGCGCTCCTTGCTCGCTATGGTTTAATACCAAGGGTCCTTATGCGGAGCTTCCGGCTTTGGCTTTTCCACGAGCTCGAATTTCAAACTAACACTATATAACGTAGGTGGTGCGATCCAAAATCCGATTGACGATGGGCCTGCAAGGAGCAGTCGATGAGGTGGCGGCGGCGCTGGCCGCCACCCCCGCGGTGGACGCTGTAGCATCGTTCACGTCGGTCGTTCACGAGGTGCGTCGCTAGATGCACAGCCATCGTTGCTCATTGCGCGACGCGATAGCTGCCACACAACGCGCCAAGCGACGCGCCAATGACCGCCATGCGAGCGCTTCTGGCTGAGATCGCCGATGATCTAGTGGGAGCGACAGACGCGATTGCTAAGGCGTCCCTTCCTCCACCGCTTGTGGCTGCAATCTTGCGCCACACAACAGAGCTGCAAGCCAGGACGCCTGGTGCGGCCATCGCGCACCTGCACCGACTGGACTGGTACGCGGTGTATGAGACTCCGTACTGCATATGAAGACGACGTCGGTGCTGTACAGGCGAGTCGATATTACCGTTGCAACGAGCTCGATTGCGCCCATTTGGCAGCCGACCGTCGTGCTCCGCTTCCGATTGACGGATGGCACGATCCGCGTCACAGAGCTGCCGCTGCAGCAATTCCACGAGCTGCGCTACAACACCGCCAAGGTACCCAAGCCGATACAACCTAAAACGTGCAACTTGCCATGACCTTCACCATGTAGATCCTTCAAGAGATGAACCAGCTCGAGCGCCACCCGATCATGCGACTGACGCAAAACGGCCAAACGAGCGTGTGATCTGCAGCTCTGGCGCGTCGGACAGGCCGATGCTGCCCACGATAACACGATGAAGTGATACCTGTGTTGCAGTGAGTGGTGGCCGAGCAAAATGTGTGGATAGCTACCCTGACGCCTCCTACTTCGACCCAAAGGCCTCTAAGACGATCGAACTTATTGCGCCTAACGTTAGATGTATGTACAATTGTACAACTAGACTTGTAGAAAAGTTCAAATAGCTTATATTAGTCGACAATACCACATACACACATATGCCGAGACTTAGACGGTGGCCTGGCGCTGGCTGTGGAACGCCGCCCAGCGACACTTGGCGTACGCTTCAAAGTCAAAGTCGATCGTCGACTGCGTCGCCTGGATAAAGCCCCACAACGACCAAAACAGGTGCGTCGCCAGCGCATACGTGTTGGCTTCATTCCGCAGTGACTCCACGTCCGCCTCGGTCGGCGCGCCGTCCGCTTCCAAGTACGCGCGGCAGAACGCCCGCTGCTCGTCCACGCTCGGGTACGTCGCAAAGTCGCCGAGGTGCGGCGTCTCGCCGTGGTAGTTGTAGCACCACTCGCTAAAGTGGTTGCCGAGGTCGTACCCGCGCGGGTTGTAGTGGCTGTACTCGAAATCGATAAAGACCACGTCGTCCGTCTTGCTCGAGAGCATGATGTTGCCGTACTGCAGGTCGTTGTGGCAAAACACGATCGGCGACGGCACGGCCGCCAGCATCGTCTCGAGCGTCGCAATGTCGTGGGCGAACGCGTCAAAGTCGACTGCGATTGTAGCGGAGGCAGCGACCTTGGACTTGGCGTCGCGGAAGAGTTTGTGGATGTTCTTGAGGATGCGTGGGCGGCAGTCAATGTCGACGTTGACGTCGTGGAAGGCGCGGAGCTTGCGCGCAATCTTGGTCGAGATGAGCGGGTCGCGGATGTCGGCGGCCGTGCACGTGGCGCCGTCGATCATGGTCTCGACGCGGCCATTGTCAAACTCGCCGAGGAGGCCAACGCCCAGGTCAAACTGCGAGAGCTGCTGGAAGACGTGCATCTCTTCGCTGCGCTCAAAGAACGCGTCGGTGCCCGTGCCGTAGATGCGCAGGAGGACCTTGCGGTTGTGTTGGGTCTTCTTCTCGCACGCAAAGATGACGTTGGTCATGGCGCCGCTGAGGTGTTGGATCGTCACGTCGGCCGGCGACACGTTCTCCCAGCCCGAGACGACGCAGCCGAGCGCCTTGGAGATCTCGCGGCGGAGGAGCTCCGGCTGGTTGTCGAGCGCGTCCGGGATGTCGACGTGCATCGCGATCGAGATGTTGCTCGAGTCGGCGCGGAGGGTTGTGTTCGGGGCCATGTGTGCTGGTCCAGGCAAATTCGGAAATGACCAAAGAAAAAGAATGCTGGGTTCGGCCATCCTTGGCTGTGATTCGTCGAGCGACCGACCGAGAGTGGGACGCCGTGGCCACCTGCTGCGACGTCGTCCAGGACGATTTCTTGAAGTCGGCGCTCCATTGGGCTGCTTTAATGCACGATAGCGCTCCAGACACTCCAGTTCAATGGCCTTTTGGCTACTGCACATGCGTGCTCTGGCCAGTTGCCTCGGTCGTTACCCGCACCGCCAACCTCCAACCTTCAACCTCCGAAGCGGAGAGGTCTCTTCGGTACTGACGTCAGCGCATTCTCGAAACCTCGACCCGTTGGGTGGTGGTATGTGCACGTACCATGGCAGGATTCCATGGCCGATCGTGCTCCGTGTACAAATGCGTGTGTCTGGCTCAGATCGAGCGTCCGACGGCCGCAAGACACGACGTCGATCCCCAAGGTGTGGGATTAATGCCACGTTCATTCACGCAAAATTTGACCTTTGGCCGTTTGATACAGTTCCCAATTGCTTGTTTCCGCGGGCAACGTCTGCTCTGGAGAGCTCTCTGGAGCCAATAATTCGTTACGTTATCCACCACGCTCTAGTAGTGACTAGTGGTCCATTGGTGTTGTGGCCCCTGGCGGTGAGCGCTGGGTGTCGTTGGCCAAAATATTCAGCGGTCAATCACGACCCACGATGGCGCTTCAACCCAAGTGTCGACTCGACGCAGACCCGGCACCCAGCTGCACGTCGTGAGAACACCGTCTTGCCGCCGACGGATGCCAAGGTGGCATCAATGCTCCACCTCCTCGCATGGCCTTGCACCGCGCTGCTGCTGCCTCTATATCACCTGTGCAGCAAACACACTCGCATGGAATGAATGGCGCGCGCGGCGTCTCGATGGCCGCCTCCATGCTACCCCAAATCTTGAGGCTGTCCACGGTATCTTGTTTTGTGCCATCTGTTTTGGCATTTGGTCCAGAGCCAGGTGAGAAACGTGTGAGAAACCGAGTGTTTAAATCCCACGTCGTGGGAAAAAAGAACCCGATTCCGAATTGCTCTATGAACAACGGCAAGGAAGCGGAGGACGCGACTCCGTGGTGTGGATTGTGGGACCAGCGCCATTGGAGGCAATCAGCGTTCGGCTAGGCAAAACGTCGTTGCTAAATGTGTCTACAAGCAGCAGTGCAGGTCCCAGTAAGAGACGGTCGCGGCCAGGCATATCATGCTCTAGTATCGGTGAACATATTTGAGATCTTCTTTGGGCTGTGTTCTCTGGGTCTCTTAGTTCAAGGGTCTGGCGACGGCGAAGCCGCTTCGGCGTCAACAGACGGCAACAAGCGGGAGCGCGCGACGGCCGACAATTACCACGCATGTGAAAAATGTGGGTGAAAAGCGCGGAAAACACACCGGTGGATCAGCGTACCTCTTTTTGTCAATTGGACGACTCTGCCATTTGCGACGGCTAGATGCCACTGTAGTATCCACTCGCCTACGTGGAAAGCGCTGATTGGTCCATCGAAATGGCGCGATTTGACTGGTGCAATCTCAACGCGCCTTTCCCATTTTTCTTGAAGGATCCCGAATTGGGTTCCAATCGCCTTTTCCTTTAGAAGTCGCCGCAGTCACCGAGTCATGGCGAAGAGCGACGCGTCCCCCTCGACCCTCAACGTCACCTCCTACTTGAAGGCAGCTGCCTCTTTTGAGCGCGAGAATGAAGGTCTCCGCCGCCAGGTCGCAGGTGCCCTCGCCACCACGGTCCCTGGCTGGGCCAACGTCGCGCTGGACGACATTGCCATCACACATTTGAGCGGTATCAAATCACATTGGCTAGCAATAAGAAACTTATTGGGCCGTGGTAGGTGCTATGACCAACGTCATCTTTGCGTGCGAGAAGCCAACACCGCCAAACAAGAAGGTCCTCCTGCGCGTCTATGGCCCTGGCACGGATGCCTTCTTCTCCCGCGGCGAGGAAACCCTTGTCTTCCAGCAGCTCTCGGAGCGCGAAATGGGGTGCGTCCATTTAGAGCCGCTTGGCATGCAATTAACGACTTGGACCATGCATAGCGTTGGGCTTCTCGGCGAATTCGGGAACGGTCGCTTCGAGACAATGATCGACGGCGCCACGTGCACGGCCGCCGACATCCGCGACCCGCTCATCTCGACCAAGATTGCGCGCAAGCTCCGCGCCTTCCACGACGTCAACGTCGACATTGACTGCCGCCCACGCATCCTCAAGAACATCCACAAACTCTTCCGCGACGCCAAGTCCAAGGTCGCTGCCTCCGCTACGATCGCAGTCGACTTTGACGCGTTCGGTCATGATATTGCGACGCTCGAGACGATGCTGGCGGCTGTGCCGTCGCCGATCGTGTTTTGCCACAACGACCTGCAGTACGGCAACATCATGCTCTCGAGCAAGACGGACGACGTGGTCTTTATCGATTTCGAGTACAGCCACTACAACCCGCGCGGGTACGACCTCGGCAACCACTTTAGCGAGTGGTGCTACAACTACCACGGCGAGACGCCGCACCTCGGCGACTTTGCGACGTACCCGAGCGTGGACGAGCAGCGGGCGTTCTGCCGCGCGTACTTGGAAGCGGACGGCGCGCCGACCGAGGCGGACGTGGAGTCGCTGCGGAATGAAGCCAACACGTATGCGCTGGCGACGCACCTGTTTTGGTCGTTGTGGGGCTTTATCCAGGCGACGCAGTCGACGATCGACTTTGACTTTGAAGCGTACGCCAAGTGTCGCTGGGCGGCGTTCCAGACCCGAGCAACGCTGCGTGTCGAATAGGAGGGGATCGCTTTAACAGGTCTCTAAATTGTTAAGTTACTTTTTCAAATGCTGGAACATGCCCGATTTGTTGAGGTAGTCGCGCAGGTACATACTGCCAGAGGCGAACGTCGAGAGAGCGACTGAGCCACTACAACCACATAAGAGGGATGAATCGTGCGCACAAAGGACAAGGAAATGACGTGGCAGACGTACAACATGACATTCATGGCCAGGTCGCCCGGCATTTGAAACGCGGCGTTGAGGAGCGCGCCGCCGAGCGTGGCAAACTGCAGGGCCGTGTTGGCCTTGGAGAGGTTGCTCGGGTTCACTTCGAATGACGTGAGGTCGTCCGTCTGGAAGAATGCCGAGCTGTTTGTCTTTGTGTGGTACCGATGGTAGAGCGTGCCGCCAATGAGCAGGAGGTCCCGGCCAAAGATCACAACGACAAGCGGGAGCGGCAGCAAACCTGCGTAGCCCATGCTCACGCAGAGCGTGCCGACCATGACCTTGTCGGCGAGCGGGTCGAGAAATGTACCCACGATCGTCTAGCCATGTGAATGAATCTCTGCCAAGGCCATGCACATGCAGGTACACCTTTTGGTCGAGCTTTCGGGCGAGGTACCCGTCCAACCAGTCGGAGAATCCGGCCGCGCCAAGCACTAGTTTTGCGTGAAATGATGCGCGAGGAAGACGCAATTCCGTACCTCCAATGGCAGCAGGATAGCTGCCCGAGACAATGAGGTAGCCAAGGTACGGCGTCGATAGAATCCGAGTGAACGTGATCGCGTTCGGCAGCGTGAGGACTTGATGCGGGTTGTTCGCCTTCTCTTTTGACGGCGGCGCGGCGTGCAGAAAGCGAGCAAGCGCTGGCCCAGAGGTCGACGTTGCTGACTTTGATAAGCGCGGCGCAAGGAGCTGGCGCGCCTGGGCGAGGCTCAGGCGGCGCGAGAGCATCGTCGCCATTGTCGGAATGCAGTGGGTCCCCATTTTGGCCAATCAGTGTTGTGTCAACACCTGATGGCCAATCAAATGAAACGTCTCGAACGAAAATGCAACAATATCCCCATGTTTCAGCCAATGGAACGCCACCGTACAATGCGCCGTCCAACTGTGTCATCTCGCTTCGGCCAATCAAATTCTGCAGGGATTTGAAATGGACAGCATTGCAGACGTAGGCTATTTGCACGCTTCTTAGAGCTCATGGAGGAGCTGCGTTCGCCACGGGTGCTCGGCATTTATAACGACGCTTTGCATCACAGCGATTATTGACGAACAGATACGTAGTACCAAGCCAATGTGGCGACTTTGACCCGTCGCAGACTTCTTGGTGGCCGCTGGAGGTTTCAAAGGCCTTCAGGAATTGTCAGTTGCACTGGGCGGCGCTGCCAATAGTGAAAAAGAGACATATCCGAGAAAACGCCGAGATGGTTGCGTGATTTTAGCCGCTGTAGACGGGCCATGTCGCACGATACCAAAGGCATGGTCTATGTCGCACTTGTCGACTTCAACCCAAGACGACACCGTCATGTTGGCTGCCCGCACCGTTGCGCGCCGTGCTCTCCGCGCTCCACGTCATCTTGGCTCGAACTGGCTAAGCTTGCAGGCAGCCCTTGCAGAAGCAGACCAGCGCTTAACAGTCGACCTCGCGGCCCTCGACCAACCCGAGCTGCTCCGCGCCAACATCACAAAGGCGTTGAACACCATTGTACCAGGCTGGGAACAGGCAGCACCAAAGGATGTCGTGCTGACGCACCTCAGCGGTACTCCTCCTACGCCACGCTGGATTATGTATGCATGATTTATCGTAGGGGCCATGACCAACGTCATCTTCACGTGCACGAAGCCAACACCAGTCAACTCAAAAGTGCTTCTCCGCGTCTATGGCGCGGGCACCGACAGCTTCTTTGAGCGAAACGAAGAGATGCAAGTCTTCCAACAGCTCGCGCGCTACGAGCTCGGGTATGGCTTCTGTACTTTGTACTCGCTCATCAAAGTGATGTCATTTAGAGTCGGGCTCCTCGGCGAGTTTGACAATGGCCGCGTCGAGACCATGATCGACGGCGCCACGTGCACGGCCGCCGACATCCGCGACCCGCTCATCTCGACCAAGATTGCGCGCAAGCTCCGCGCCTTCCACGACGTCAACGTCGACATTGACTGCCGCCC